TTGAGTCAAACTGCCCTGACCTCTGGGGCCTGTTCCCTGCCACCAGGCTCCGCCCCCCCCCCAGAAACAAGACCACGACTCCTCTATTTCATCGCGGCCCATTTTCTTCAGGGTGTGTCCACGTGGCCTCGTTTCTTACCCGTGTGCGGCCAGGGAGCTGCTCCCTCCCTCGCCAGAGCTCATGTCCCCTGCGTCCATCCATTCCCGCCTCCCTGGAGTCACCCCCGCCCCACCAGACTCCTTTTCCAGACACAGTAAACCTGTTGAAACAGTCGCCTGCCCTTATTGAAGCTTTTACATCCGCCGGTCAGGCAACCAGAAAGTGCTTCCTAACCAGGTTGCTCTAAGCGCAGTGCCTACGTGGGCTGCTGACTTCTGATTGCCAAAACCAGTGACTCCTCAGTGGTCCCTTTCTGATTAGCCCTTTCTCCCCAAAGCACCGCCCTGCCAAGACACTGCTCCTTTGACCCCTTCCTCCAGCGTCCCCCTGCCTGCACCCTGGGTGTGGATGATCCCAAGACTCTGCCAACGTTGCCCCTCTGAGTCCCTGGTCTGTGCTCCCGCTCTGGCTCCCCTAGAGCCTGTGTCCCAGGGACTCCCATGCCGGCCTAGCACTGGCCGTGACCTCCTGCACTTGAACTGAAAGTCTGCATTTCTAGGGGCATCTGGGTGGCTCGGTTGGTTGGGCGCCTGACTCTTGATTTTGGCTCAGGTAGTGATTTCAGGGCCGTGACACTGAGAGCCCCGCATAGAGCTATATGCTCAGCAGGGAGTCTACTTGGGATTCTCTCTCTCTCTCTCTCTCTGCCCCTCCTACTACTTCTTCCTCTCTAAATAAATAAGTAAAAAAAAAAAAAATCTGCATTTCTAACTCTTTTTAAGCATTTTCAGGGTATCTTGTGAGTCCCTGAAATTCAGCACGGTCACAACTGGGCTGTCCTTTCTCAACCCGGGCAAATGTGACCCTTTTCTGCTCCTTGGCACTTATATTGTCATTAAGTTCTGTTGATCGTAACTCTCACACATCTTCCTGACCTACTCCTCAGTGACCACTTCTACTTCTACTGATCATCTGGGTCCCCCAAAAGCTTCATGAGGACCAGCAGACAATAGAAGGAGCTTCGGAAATCAGACTAACTGGATTCCAGGGGTTTTTTGTTTTTGTTTTTGCTGAATAGCTGTGTACATTATTTAACTTCTTTGAGACTCAGTTTCTTCCTATGTTAAATGGAGCTGGTACTTAGAACTACTCTAAGAAATTTGGTGAGAAAAATAAAGAAATTTGGTGAGCGAAACACAATGTTACTCACATAACACAATGTTACAACGGTTGACAAACAGAAGCCACTCAAAATGGTTTTTTTTTTTTTCCACTCAGTACTCTCCTCACTTTCCCTCCCATCACTTAGCTAGAGCACTCTGCATTGTTCTCCTCCAAAACACATTCAGCACTCAAACTGGTTACTTTCTTTTTTTTTTTTTTTAGATTTATTTACCTATTTTGGGAGGGGGGGTAGGGGCAGATGGAGAGGGAAAAAGAATCCCAAGCAGGCTCCATGCTCAGTGCAGAGCCCAATGTGGGACTGATCCTACCTCCTTGAGATCACGACCCCAGCTAAAATCTAGAGCTGGGTGCTCAACCAACTGAGCCACCCAGGTGCCCTAAGCCGGTTACTTTCTAAATCAGAGATCCACTTAAACCAAACCAGTCTTTGGTTAAAAACAAAACTTGTCACATCACAAATTGTCATTGCCTGTATGGCAGGCAATCTCCTTAATATGGCATTTGTGATCCTTTAGAAATCGAGCCTCAAACAATCTCTCCACCTTACAAATTCACCAATCCTTATTTATATAACCCATACACCTGATGTACCTTACATTGTCAAGCCTCGGTTTCTTTATTGCAGCCATCTCGTCTTCAAGGTCTTCCCCCCTTTTACCTCTAGCTGATGAAGCCATATTTCTATTTGCACAAGCACCTGTTTCTCCCAATAAATTTTAATTCCTTGGAAGCAAAGAACTCTCCTTATTAATCCAGCACGTCATCCATTCATTCATTCACCAAACTTTTACTGACTAAGAAGCAGGCATTGTGCTGAGTCCCAGGGATACAAGCCAAAGAAGAGAGGTCCCACACCATTAACTCCTACACAGTCTTGTGAGGATGGTGGGTGTACAAATTATTCCAGCACAGAGTGATAAGTGAGAGCATAAAGTGAAGCAATGGTTCTCAATCTAGTAGTATATTAGAACTTCTAAAGTCATTTTTTAAAAATGTTAATGCCTAGGTTCAACCATCAGATTCTAATTTAATTGGTCTGTGGTGCATTTATTTTTTAAAGCTCTTCTGGCACAGTTATGTGAAGTGAGGGTTGCAAACCTCTGGGATAGAGCTGTACAAAGAACATGGAAGATGTACTTTACACTGTTCCGCAACACCTCGGCCCCTTCATTCCCATCTACTTTCTCCATGCACCCTTTCTCCATCCAACTTAGAAGATATTGCCTTATCCCCAACTCAGAGGTAAATTCTGATTATTCTTTCTCGTGACTGGTTTAGGGTAGGGAAAAGAACTCATTCAAATCAGGGGAATCTAAGGGGAGGTCAGTTATGGGAAGTTGAGAAAAGGTTTCCTAGTTCCAAGAAAACCATACCAAGAAAGATAGTTTTTTCTTTTTAAAGAGATTTTATTTATTTATTTATTTATTTATTTATTTATTTATTTATTTATTTATCTATTTATTTATTTACTTATTTGAGCGTGAGAGAGAAAGCACGAACGGGGGGTAGGGGACAAGGGAGAGGCAGCTTCCCTGCTGAGCAGGGAGCCTGACACAGGGCTCGATCCCAGGACCCTGAGATCATGGCCTGAGCTGAAGGCAGATGCTTAACCAACTTGAGCCACCCAGGCGCCCTCAGAGATCTTTACCTTTGGACGTTGCTGTGTGAGGCTGTGACATCTGGAACTGCAGCAACTGTATTGTAACCCTGAGCAGATCAGAAGCAGAACTGAGATCCAGAAAGGACCTGGCTTCTGGATGACACTGTTAGGTTACTGCATCAAACAACCCTAATGTTGGTCTACTTGTGCATTTCTTAATGTATGCAATAATGAATTTCCTGACTCCTTATGATACTTTGAGTCAGTTTTCTGTTTACATGCAACAGGTGGCATCCTGATATACAACTAATCCAAACTTGGAGATCAAGGAAAACAGCCCAGAAAAGGGGATATCTGTGAAGAGCCTTCATCAGGGCAGGCAGTCCAGAAGCAGGAGAAGTAAGTAAGCATAGATATAAACATAAAAGATCTTAATGGAACTACACATGGTTCAAAGTGGCTACTGCAAAGAGTATGAGCATAAAGAGGAGGCTGGAAAGGTGTCAGTCTGGAGCAAGAACTCGAGCCTTGTATGCTGTGGTAGGTTAAATATGGCCACAGAACCTGTGCAGCTTCTTCTAATAAGCAGAGTCGATTTTCACACCCCATGAATCTGGCTGGTTTTCTGACTTGCTTTGACCAACAGAATGTATCAAAAATGATGTTATGTAAATTCTAGAGCCAAGGCCTGGCTCTCTTGAAGTGCCGCCCTGAGGCTACCATATTCTCAGGAAGGCAGTGCAGCCTACTGAAGGACGAGAGGCTGGTGGACAAGCATGGAGGCACTTTGGCCACACCAGTACTAGGTGCTGAGCATGAGAGGCCATCTTGGCCCACACAGCTATTCCAGCCATCATCTGACTGCACGTAGACTTCCCAGCCAAACCACAGAATTATAAATCATAAATCATTATTGTAGTAAGCCACCAGATTTGGGGTGGTTTGTTATGCAATAATAGGCACCTGATGGATAGGCCATGCCAAGTTGTTCAGATTTTACTCTGAAAACCATGAGGAATAACCTGACTGAATTCATGTTTTAGAAAGATCGCCTTGGCAGCAGCGTGAACGATGGGCTTGGTGTGGGGGCAGGTTGGACGTAGGAGGACTGGTTGGAAGACTGTTGTGTTAATAGAGCTGAAAAATCACATCGATCTGAATTAAGACAAGGGAGAGAGGAATAATCATGGAGGTAACATCAGCATGACGGCAAATATAAGTTACAGTGCATAAAGGAGAAATGTGAATTAGGAATTACAGTTCTTTGGGGGCGCCTGGGTGGCTCAGTGGTTGGGCATCTGCCTTTGGCCCAGGGCATAATCCCAGGGTCCTGGGATTGAGTCCTGCATTGGGCTCCCTGCGTGGAGCCTACCTCTCCTTCTGCCTGTGTCTCTGCCCCTCTCTCTCTGTCTCTCATGAATAAATAAAATCTTTAAAAAAATTTTTAAAAAAGGAATTACAGTTCTTTGGACAAGGGAAGCGAGTAGATGGGTCACTATGAGGGACTAGGGGAGGAAAAGAAGATTTAATGTAACTGGAACATCTAAGTGGAGAGTAGGGCAAGGGGCTGTGAACAGTCAATAGATGTTTAATGGATAAATGAGGATGATTAGTCAGGGCAGGTACTGCAGTTCTAGTCCGACGAGCCGTGGATACGTGGCTTAACTGGAGTTCTTTCTACATCAAGGAAGTTTTAATGGTGGGAACTCGTGTTCTTGATACTTTGTCGGAACAGAGAGGAAAAGGAAAGGAAAGAATTGATGCAGTCTGAGATGCTCACAAAGCCACATGTTGTTCAGTTTACGTGCATCGATCTGTAACTGCCAGGGAACACATTAGCATCTAATGTTCCTAATGAAACATCTAATGAAAGCACTTTCTCGTCATGTATCCAGAGGGAAGAGCCACCATACAGTTCTCTGTTTTGGTCCTGCACATTCTTCACTTGCCTCCCACCCTGTAGGGTAAGTGGCAGCCCTAACTCCACGCGAAGACAGAGTTGAGACTATGCTCATGTCAGATATTTTGTCAAGTGAGCACAATCTATGACTTATTTTGTAATAAACTTCCAAGACTACAAACAACTTTCATATGCACATGTGAATACTGGCTTACCTTTGAAATTGATTAAAATAGCAAGTAAATGGCTGGGAACCAATCTCATCTTTCCAGTACTGTTGCCAATTCATGACATTTTCCAAGTTCTTCTGATTTTCTCTCTTACAGGGAGGAATATAGGAGCACTAGCAAAACAGAACACAGAAAATAAACCTATTATTCTACAGAATATTGAAATATAGTCTTTCCTTTTTTTTTTTTTTAGAGAGATGGCAGTGTGCACATAGTAAATCTAATTCTGACCTACTTAATCTTTAAGTACATACAACCAAATTGAAATTTGGTTTATATTTCAAATTTCCAATTTGGGAAAATTACAGAAAACAGTCCAATAAAAATGCAGCAAAAAAATAACCTTTAGTTATTACAGTATGAGGATAGATTATAAGCAATTAGTTACAATCTAACAGCAAATTAGAAGCATAATATACTCTTTTTTTGTGGGCCTGCCAGTCAACAGAGGGAAGAGGAAGGAAGGAAGGAAGGAAGGAGAAGAGAGGAAAAGGAAGAAACGCAAGAAAGAAAGAAAAGAGAAAGAAGAGCAAGCTAATTTTTATTCCCAGTTGCTATCTCCAGATCTCGATATTTTCCTCTTCTACCTTTAAGTACCAAATTAAGCACTCAACTCTCCTCAGATCCTGCTCTCAACCACTGAAACCCAAGTTTTCTTTTCTTACATCCTCTTGGATACTAAAATCAGCAGAAAAGTTCCTCACGAGTACATAATCAATGTATTTTGCTAACTGGTGCCTTTTCCTAGCTCTGCCTCTAACAAAGTAGTTCTCTCTGAAGGGACCCAATTACTCTGAGCAATACAGAATCAGCAGATTTGGGAAAATTATTCTTAACTCTGGATGTTAAAATTAAGTCTTAGCATTCTAATCCATTTTCTCTGATTCAGGTTTGGTTTTTTGATGTTTTTCTTTTTTTAAGATTTTATTTATTTTTTTTTAAGTAATCTCCTTACCCAACATGAGGCTCGAACTCATGACCCTAAGGTCAAGAGTCAGATGCCCCTCCAACTCAGGTTTTTATTACTGATGATGATCACAATAAATATGGTGCCGGTTTACTGTTACTGGATGTTTACAAGATGCCAGACATGGCAATAAAGGCTTAACGGGCTCTAACCATGTGCTTCTTACAACGACCCTAAAATGATCTCCCTTTTATAGATGGGGAAACTGAGATTTCCATCAGCCCTATGACTGGGTGCTGGAGATTTTATCACATTTGACTCCCAGCTGTTGTACTAAAGTTTCTGATGGTAAGGAGTGTGTATGTGGGGGGGGTGGGGGGGTGGTAACCATTAGCTTCATTGTATAATTGGGTCCGTGTTATTTTAGAGCGGGTAAGTTGGCAACACCGTCCCACTGTTTTCCAGTCAAACACAAATGTTTTAGTGCGACGTACAATCCTCTTCAGGCTCTGCCCTCTGCCTGGGACACAGTCGGTTGGAAGCACACGGTCCCCAGATCTGTCTCATGCGATCACACCTCCTGGCTGGTCCCTGCTGCTCTCTGCTCTTTCACTGGCCTTTTTTCAAGATGTGGCTCTGTTTGTGGGGTCTCCTCCTTCCTACTCCACAGTTGAGTCCGCCTTCATTGGTCCTGTGGCAAGCATCACACCACGAGCAGCCACAGCTGTAATCCCAGGGTCACCCCGGCTAGTCTGTTGTACGGTGACCTCCTCAATTCACTGGCAAGCTGGAACAGGGCTCTTTTCTGTTTTCTTTTATTTTTTTCTGCATCTTCACACTTAGGACACGATGCTTGGCAGTAGGGAAATTTCAAAAATGTTCATAGAGTTAATAATAACAAACTTCTATACATTTTTTATTCAAGAGGGATGAAGCTATTGTCACAGTGGTTGGTATTTTTCTTAACACAGAATATTTTAAATGTTAGTAAATTCGGTTATTCTCTATCCTGTAACAAATTCACAACATCCAATGCAAATCTTATTTTAATGATGGGATCAGTGGATATTTACTCTTTGCACATATAGTTAATGTTCTATTAAGAACAGTATATATAAAGCCAAAAATTTCTGGGAAATCCTGAATTCTAAGATCTTCCAAAGCAACAGTTGGATTTAGAAGCTATAGAGGCTGTGAGATACGGCTCTGGCCCTACTACTTGTTGGGTGTTTGGGGCTAGAGTAAATTACTTCCTTTTTCTGGATTTCATTTTTTCTAATCTGTAAACTCTCCAGAATAATTTCTAGCTCTACATTTCTATGATTCTCTTCTTGGAGGTACACCAAGAAGGGACCCAGCAGAAGGCAGGACTACAAACACTGCGTATTTTTCCCAGAAGAGATGCTGCCCACTGGGGAAGTGGCTAGGCAGCCTGACTAACCCCCGTTCCAGCCCCCAAAAGGCACAAGGGCCGTAGGTCCGTTCTTGGGGATCTGTAATTTGCATTAGCTTAGTGTTCATAGAGGACCCCTGACTTCTTTATTGTTTATGCCCTATAATGTGCTGGATGTTTCCTTCTATTAAAACATTTCTCTTTATTTACTGCTGTCAGTTTGTAAGATGAGAGGAGGGTACCACCCGACTGTGTTCTTTGAATGCTTCAAAATCCATCAGAGCCTTTTTTGCAATGGCTACACTCCACACACTCGACACAAGACATACACTACACATTTTAGGGAATAACAAACAACAAGCAACCAAGTGGAATTGCAGCAGATTTTTAAATTTTGCAATTTAACTCAGTTTGAATTCTTTGCTATTTAGTGTTTCCCCTCCCCCACAGGGGGAAATGGGTTTAAAAGAACGATCTCTCAACAAATGACAACTCTGAGATTTCGATAGAAGAGGCACACCCACATGTTTCTGAAAAGGTCAGATAAAAACTTTCACTGAGCAAATGGAGTTTGTATTAACATCTGTTGTGGTTTCACGTGGGAAAAAAGGAAATGTTCCTCACCTTTAGGATACTTCTGATGGGGAACAGAGGGCCAGCTGAGGACAAAGCGCAGGGGATATCCCACAAACGACCCCCACCCAGGGTGGGATCTGTGTGGCATTCCTCAGCAAATTCCCAAGGTCTTGCTGGAGGGAAAACAACCTTTAACTTGCCAATGGCCTTCAGCATTTCCTAGGTCCTCCATCGCATGTGAAAACCCCGCTGAAACCTCCCTTCCCTTCCCTCCCCCAAGTCTGCAGGTGTGTACTCAGCCACCCTCCCAGGTCCCTGCTCTTCCTGCCCACGGGTCCTGCCCCTGTGCTTTCAGAAAAACCACCATCTTGCACCAAAGACGTCTCAAGAATTCCTTCTCGGTCATCAGCTCCGGACTCACCCCACCAAACCTCACCCATTGTCCAAAACTTCATCACTTTGAGGTAGTGTGGATGGATTTTTAGACACAAAGTCTTTTTTTTAATATTAGGGAAACTAAGGGAATATTTTTTTTTAATATTTTATTTATTTATTCATGACAGACACAGAGAGAGAGGCAGAGACACAGGCAAAGGGAGAAGCAGGCTCCATGCAGGGAACCCGATGTGGGACTAGATCCCCGGTCTCCAGGATCACGCCCTGAGGCAAAGGCAGGCGCCAAACTGCTGAGCCACCCAGGGATCCCCAAGGGAATATTTTTTATATTATTTATATTAGGGAAAATAGCCTGTGATCAATATTCAGGTATTTTTTTCCCAGGCCAGATTCTTTCCAAGAGTATCCTGGATTACATAATGAGCTTGTGCTACTCTAGGAAATTTCACCGCTCCCATGCCTAGGGAGGAAATTCTTTTAAAGGCTAAATCTTGCATTCTTAAAAAATCATTATTGTTCTTTTTCTTATATCCCGATTCTCCAGTTAGTTCATCTCCAAAAGTTCTGAGAATCCTAACTCGGATTCTCTCTAGAGTCCTTCTCAGTTCTGGCAGACCAGGGTGGACTGGTAAGCATTTTGAAATAAATACTAGTTCACAGCAGTGTTCTGAAAAAAAAATTTTGGAAATTCAGACACCACTTTCCTCTTGAGGCTGTTCAAACCTGATGGGTTTCCAGGCACTATGACAGCTCCACCAGGACGGGGTCTCCACCAGGACCGGGGCTCCACCAGGATTGAAGTTCCACCAGGACTGGGGCTCCACCAGGATCGGGGCTCCACCAGGATCAAAGTTCCACCAGGATGGAAGCTCCACTAGGACTGGGGCTCCACCAGAATAGGGGCTCCCCCAGGATGGAAGCTCCTCCAGGATGGGGGCTCCACCAGGATCGTGTGCCCCGGGGTGGCAAACACGACGACGTGGGCACCGTATGGGCAGCACTACTGTCGTCATGGCTGACAGTTGTTGATTTCACATGAAGCGTCTCATTAATCCAAATCCCACTTAATCCCAGTAAGTAACTGGTATGGTCACCCATGTTTGACAGATGAGAAGACTGAGCGGCAGAGGTTTAAGAAGACTTTCCCTCTGTTACACATAGCAAGTGGAGAAGTTGGGGCTCCGACTGCAGCGTGTTCTTATCCGTGGCCCCATGTCTCTATCTTTAGGGCTTCCCACTCTACCCTCTTTGGAGCTCCTGCTGGGGGGTGAGGGCGGTGCCCTGACTTTTGCCTCCCTCACTTCCAGGACCCAGGACCCGTGTGAGGATTCCTTGGGAATGGGATTGGAGCAGGCCTCTGGCCTGAGGGCTGAGGCAGCTGCTGGCGCTTTGGTTCCCCGCACACTCTCCCTCCCAAAAATGCACTGTAAGTCTGTCCCCTCCTGTCTTACTTTGGCTCCGGGGTTGGGTTTTGGTGCCATGGATGTAATTGCACTTAGGGGAATTATTAGACACGACGTCTTTGGTCAGAGGACAGTGAGTGCTCCCCTTGGAGAAACTTCATACAGTTCTGACCTTTTTTGGTCTTTCTTTGGCAAAAGCAGCATTTCCCAATTTCTAATATCATTATCACCCAAATAACCTTCGCTGTTGTCTGTAGCACTTGCCGCCTAAACTTGCACGAAATCACTTTTTGTAAAAAGCCAAGAGTAAGAGGACTGTGATAAAAATATATTTAATGCTTAATGCTTTTTTTTATACACTTAGTAAAAAAAGATTTTTTTTGACTTTTGCATTCACGGACCACGTTGACAGAATTGAGTGGGCTAAGACTTCAGTGA